GGCAGGCAACACCCTGGGTGGAAGGCCAAGCCATCTCAAGTGTGCATGCTCACTAACTCACTCACTCACTCACACTCACTAACTCACTCACCCACCCACTCACTCACTCACTCACTCACCCACTCACTCACACACACTCACTCACACACACTCACTCATTCACTCACACACACTCACTCACCCACTCACTAACTCACTCACACACACTCACTCATTCACTCACACACACTAACTCACTCACTCACCCACTCACTAACTCACTCACTCACACACACTAACTAACTCACTCACCCACTCACTAACTCACTCACACACACTAACTCACTCACTCACCCACTCACTAACTCACTCACTCACACTCACTAACTCACTCACCCACTCACACACACTCACTCACACACACTCACTCATTCACTCACACACACTAACTCACTCACTCACTCACCCACTCACTAACTCACTCACACACACTCACTCATTCACTCACACACTCACACACACTAACTCACTCACTCACTCACACACACTTCACTCATTCACTCACACACTTACACACACTCACTCATTCACTCACACACTCACTCACTCACTAACACACAGTCCATTCATTCATATATTTATGGAGACTCTGCATTTATATTTATTGGTATGGGTATAACCCTAAACCCAACAATGACAACCGTAACCCCTACCCTAACCTTAACCATAAGTAACACAAGACTTTTGGCACTTTTAGTTTTTTGACTGTAGTCACAGATTTTTATGAAATTGAGGTTATCCTTGTGGGGACTGTAAAAACTTACTGGCTTTTATCATTGTGGCACACACACACACGTACGCACGAACACAATATGTAATTCCTAGCAGTTCATTTTTAACACCTCCAAATTCCCAGCACACAGCTTAGAGGAATGAGAATGACAGCAAACACCATAGGAGGGAGGGGCAGCCTAGCTGTCTGGGAAGGGGCCGCCAGGTGACTGTGATGACCTGTACTGCTTCATCCCACCTGTCACGGCTGTGTGTACCCCAGGAGCATAGTGCTGTCGTGCGACATGACACGATGCATTGAGCCCATTTATTACGTGACTGTAATAAGCGCCATCGATTCCGTTTCTCCCACTGCCTTCAGGTGCCATGAGCCCCCACGTGACCTGCTGACACACTGACACGTAGTGTTGCACAACCTCTGAGTCAGTAGCCTACGGCATCCATCTTACCCCAGCGATCATGACTTACAGTTGGTTGAGGCCTGCGTGGATTCAGAGCACAAATAGCAAAGATAAAACGGAATTTGCTGGCATTGGCCGGTCTGGGTGGGTAGCGTCCGTGGGACGTGCTGCAGTGCTATGCAGATCGGCAACATGACTGGACCTGTCGAGGACCGAGCTGGGAGGCGGGCTAACAGGAGTATGTGGTTCCTCTAAGGCAGCATAGCTTTATGAAACTCTATCTTCTTTCTCTGTTGCTTAGCAGACTGCTATCATGCTGCTCTCCATGCTGATCTCACCACCCCCTCTATCGCCTCTGTGATTACGATCCCATATACGGAGGCCTTAGCGTCTGAAATCGCATACTTGTTTGCTATGTAGAAGGCAAAATATAGTATGCAATGTTAGCAGTATGTCTGAATCCTCAGTATGGATGAAACGGTTCCCGGGAGATATACTACATTCTGCGAAATTCCGAAATGTGTAACCGATGGACGCTACGCTATCCCACAAGGCCACTGGAGCAGCAATCAGAGATGAAGATACATTTTGATACATAAATGACAGATACATTTTGTCATTTATGGTGGAGGAAGTGCCATCTCTGCACAAATTTAAGTAGAAAACAATACCCAATGACATAAGTTGACTCAAATATGTTTTTTTTTTAATTTTATGTTTGTTGTTGGTTTTAATAGTTTATAGCTTTCATGTCATTACGTCATTGGTCAACATATATTAAATGGTGATCCTAGCGTGTCAGAATGCATGCACACTCTCCTCATGGATAGTATGTACTGCATTAATGCTCGAGCAGTAGGCATCTGACTAAATTCAATACCTACTTTGTAAGTATGAGATTTTGGACACACCCATTGACTCCTGGTGCTCATCTTCAGCCAAGTGGGCCGCGTGTGGCACAGAATGCTGGGAAACTAAGTGCTCTCCGGGCTTTAGGAGCACAGGTGTGGGGGGATTACAGTGGGATCCGCATGGACCTCATCAGTAAATCTGTTTGGCAGGGGATTGTGTGTCCAGCACAGCTGCAGAAAGGCCTTAATCAGTACTAACAATGTTTCCTGAGGCGACTGGGGAAACCTGATAAGGTGGCATTGTAAGGCAAGGAGGACCACAGCCACCACTATAGTCCCTGTTTCATACATATGGTTGATTAACAAAAAACCTTAAGGTTCCCCCTGCTGGAAGAGGGAATGAATTCAGTCATCTTGGGGTGACTCACCCAATTTGCCTGTTGAGATGAGTATTGTTTGATTTTTTTTGCCCAGATGACCTTGTCCAGTTTGGGATACATTTTTCACTCTTCTGCTACAGGAAAAGGAACTGATAAGTGTCAGCCATCTACTGTTAGACACACAGCACAAATGAAAACTAAATGAGTATGGACTCAATACCAAACGAATATTACAACACATTAATTTTTCTACAGGGCATTTTGCTTACTTTGTGAGACATACAACGCCAGACCAAATAGTCTGTGAAATGTTTGTGAATATCTAAGAATTATCTGAATGTCTGCAGGAATGGCTCCTTAAAATTTGATCTGATTTTCATCTAAATCATAATAATACAATTTTTTATAAAGATTTGGCAATGCAAAATGTTTTGTGTGTTTCTTAGATAACACTGTATTTATGTCTTCAAAAAAATCAGATCAAATTTTCGGAAATGTGAATAAATCAAGATTACTCACAATGTTCCTACTAAGTTATTCTATATTATAGGGAGCACACAAATTTCACACATCTATGCCAAATGTTCTCTGCTAAGACTTGCTGGATACTTCAGGTCCATCAACCAGAAGGCAAAGCCTCTGAGATATTCTCCGATCTGGTCTCACAAACACCTGTGCTGTCCCTGTTAACTGTAAATTAAAGAATGTGTCATTAACATAGGAAAAAGAAATTATATATCATTCAGCAATCAATGCCAAATACAATCACAAGCTGTTTATGTTCCATAAAGACAATGATCAGAACAAGAATTTCTAATATACTAAGTTTAATATTATGTATTTACAGAATTAAAGTATGTTTCTGCAACCAGAAGCTTGTAAATTGCAGTGTTTTCTCAAAAGAAAACATTTTTGCTAAATAAAAGTAGCTGAAATTCTATTAATCTCAAGAATTGTCTGATTACTAAAATTCAGTTTTCTCTGAATTGTCTAATATCAATTTTTTTCACCTACTTCAACTAACATACATCAATCAGCCATAACATTAAAATCACCTGCCTGCTACTATGTAGCTACCAAAACAGCTGTGACCCATCGGGGCATGGACTCCACAAGACCTCTGAAGGTGTCCTGTGGTATCTGGCACCAAGACGTTAGAAGCAAATCCTTTAAGTTCGGCACTGTCAGAAAAAGGGTGCAGCCCTGGCTACAGTTTTATTCCCCAAAGTACAAACAACATTAATTAAAAAATGTTCCTCAGAGTTAATTTCTGTACCTTACACAACACTTACTTACAGCTAGGGTACAATTGGCAGACCTTTGAAGGCACAACCCCAGTTACAAGTAATTGTTCCCTCAAAGGTACAAATAGGTACTTCTTTCCTGACAGTGTGTAAGTGTGTAAGGTGGAGCCTTCATGGATTCATCCCACAGATGTTTGATTGGATTGAGATCTGGGTAATTTGGAGGGCAAGTCAACATCTTGAGCTCTTTTTTATGTCCCTCAAACCATTCCTGAACATTTTTTTCAGTGTGGCTGAGCGCATTGTCCTGCTGAAAGAATTAAGCCACTGCCATCTGGGAATACCGTTCCTATGAAGGGGTGTACATGGTCTGCAACAATGTTTAGGGAGGTGGTACCTGTCAAAGTAACATCCAAATGAATGTCAGGCTCCGGACCTGAGGTTTCCCAGCAAAACATTGCCCAGAGAATCATTACCTACACTGCCTACTTTGCGTAGTGTATCCTGGTGCCATCTCTTCACCAGGAACATGATGCACATGTACCAGCTGTCAACAAGATGTAACAGAAAATGTGACTCATTAGACCAGGCCATCTTCTTCCAGTGATCCATGGTCCAGTTCTGATGCTCCCTTGTCCATGTCATACCGAGAACACCCTGTCATTTTTCAGATGCTATGACCCAGGAGTCTAGCAATCAAAATTGGATCCTTGTCAGAGTCACCCATATCCTTTACACTGGGCTATTTTTCTTGCTTCCAACACATCAACTGACTGTTCACTTGCCTAATATGTAATGGCCTGTTGACAGGTGCCATTGTAACAAGATTATCAATGGTTTAAACTTCACCTGTCAGTGGTTTTAATGTTACGATCGGTGTAAGTGACTACATTGCTTTGATTAGAATGACTGTGATATAACTGAATAGATAACTTTTTTATATCAAGGTTAGAACTTAGAAGTGTGTTAGAAGGACTGGAACTGGATTCCTAAAATAAAACACATGTAAAAATAAATAAAAAAGCATGTCTGAGAAGTTTCTCTTTCCAAATGATACCAAAGTGTGCAGCCCTGGAAATGTAGCTTTTTAAAGTGCTGCTCCAGTTCTAAAATATGAGGACATCAGGCTGCATAAAGAACAGAAGTTAGTTTTACAGAAGATTTCTATGGGATGCTTACAAGTTCACCCATCAAAGCAAAAGAAAAGAAAGCAGATTTTTTTTTTGTCCTGAAAATATCTTGCCAAATTCATTTAATTGACATAATGAAAATGTCAAGTATTAGATAAAGAAGGGGTGCAATTCAATTTTGGCCACCCTACAGAAGAAATTAAGGCAAGTCAAGTGGATATTTATTGTTATACTATCTACATACAATCCACAGCATACAGTGGTACAAAATATCATTCCCCAAGACCGCAGTATATATACATAAAGTGCAGAGACTGTAAACAAGACAAGTGCAACACATGGGGGAAGGGGGAGAAGGGAGTAATAGCTAACAAATAAAAACAGAGAATAAACATACACTAAATCACAGGGGAGCTAGGAGTACCCACACGATATATCAGTTACAGTGGTGACTGCACAAATAATCAATACAACAGATGTAACAACACATAGCTGTGTGAAAAAGTGCACTGGATATTGCAGATTTAACTGTTGCATCTGCTAGGCTGACATACAGGGCATGTAATCATCTCTATAAATACACAAACATGCAGAAATGCAAATGCGCAGGTGAAGAGGTGAAATATGTCTAACAATAATAATCCGTACCCAATAGCACGGTATCGGCCATGAAGACCATCATAAAATAGGCCCAGCAGACGATGTTCTTCAGGTTCCAGCTGAGGAAGCTCAACCTACCACACTACAGATCAGTTTCCACACCAGTCAGCACGTCCGCTCTGTTAGTCCATCAAAGTCTGGTTTACATCAAGCACTACAGAAGACAGTGACAGGTAATGTTAATAGTCAGGTCTGCAGAAAGGGTTAACGGGGTTTCTGTCCACCCTCCAGGACCTATACTATTCCCAAATCCCAAAACAGACAGAGAAAATCATTATGGACCCCTCACACCTGGGCCACAACCTGTTTGACCTTCTCCCCTCTGGCAGGCGCTGCAGATCACTGTGCTCCTAAACAAAAAGAAACATATACAGTTTCTTCCCACGTCATCATTCTCGTGAAGAGATGACCCGGTTGCCTCAGCCACACACACACACACACACAGCCAGGCAATACTTCAATGTAGTAAATAACTTACTGTAGTTATTACACTGTATATATTGCATTAATTCCAAGATTCCTTGTGCTGACATGTAATCTTGCATTTTTTATACATTCATCATCTCCACCTGTGTGTTGTATACATCAACTGTACTCAATGTGACCATCGTCTTGTCTTAACCAAGTATGTATCTACTGTGTTGACAACTGGAGACAAATTCCATGTGTGTGAACCTACTTGTTCTTGTATTGAGTTATGCTTATTATGTTAATGTGTTTGTGTGCAGGTTACGTAATTGCTGCTTCATGTTTCTCTTGATGTACATTTTAATCTTATTGGACTGAGCTGACCAGCAGCAGAAAGATTTAGACAGGATATGATCTCTGGCATAAATTTAAAATCAGTCTCAATCCTTCGTGTTGTTGCGGGGAGGTCATTAAACTTCAATGATTAAAGCGCAAATATACTTTAAGTTGTAGGCAATTCACGAACATTGATTTTACAAAGTATGGTAACCGGGGCTGTGGCTGTGGCGGGGGACGGGGGTAAGATTTAACTCCAATAGCCCACACACTTTGTAATTCAATACGCAAACAGGATACGTTACTTCTTTAATTCATAATTAAGATTAATTAATCCTCTTCCAGAACCCATTCAAATAAATATGGTGGAACTGAAACTACAGGGTTATTTTACAGTTACAAGGGAACTTTAACAAAAGATGACACGTAATTTCTATCAACAATTACAGAAACAAAAGGTAACGAAGGCATAAAAGGGCTACTGAATAAAAGTATAAAATATTGGTCTAAAACTATTTAAAATTACTTCATATCAACAGCATATAGAAGTACACGTTCTGAAGTAGCAGCATGTTAAAAACGTGGCAGGCATCGTCAGATACATTAGTTCATCGACTCTTCCTTATTCAGTCGCTGAAATCCACGTGATCTCACAGAAATATAGGGCACCATACATACACGGGACATCCCCTTTGTTATTTAACATCATATTTGTTCCGTTTTCTCTTCTTAATGTATTGCCAGCCGGCCGTAATGTGCCTTGATTCGTTGTTCCGGTCGCGGGCGCCCCGCCCTGCGTTGCACTACGCAGACTCCGTGGGTCTGTCAGCGCGAGAGAACGTTGACAGTATGGCGGCGAGCCGCTGCTGGGAGGATGCTGCTGTGGCTGGCGGTGTCTCCCCCGCCGTCGGAATGTGAACGGACTACGTTAAGCAACAGAAGGAAAGCGAGCGACTGGGCCTTGACGCCGTGATCTCCCGCAGCATCGACATGGCCAGGCTTGCCGACTACTTCGTCGTGGTCGGTTACGACCTCGATAAGAGAGGTGAGCGACCGGGGACTGTTTTTTTCTGAGTGGTTTTAGGACGGCTCATAGTAAACAGGAGGTGGTGGAAGGGAGGCGGTGACGGGACGGGCCAGGCCGGGACAAAACCGAATGTCCTATCTCCAGGCCCCCCGCAAGGCACCACTACTCCAATATCAACCGCGGATATCCGGGGCCTCGTTGGAGAGGAATAAATCATGGTCCTTTGTTTAGATTATGCAAAAAACCGGAACGGTATAATAATGGCACGCATACGTCTGTTTGCAGATTCATCCTGGCACGGTTGTCATGCTCTGGGCGTTGTATCTCATGTCAGGCTTATTGGACCGGTCAGCTAGCCTTGTTAGCCGACCCGTTAGACCCTGTAAACCGCCTCAGCGTTGCTCCACCGCGCGAGGATTAATGCGCGCGTGGGGACCGCTAGCTCGCGGGGCAGTTATTGAGGCGAGGATATTAATTTAATACACCGCCGGACTGCTTGCTAAGTTTATGTTAACAGATGTATTCGGTCCATACTATGAGCAGTAAAAATCGGTTTTCGGTTTTGCTCTTGGAACTCTCGTGTCGTAATAATTTTAGTTAACGAGTCCTGTCGATGGAGAAGTTACGTATGGAATAAGCAAGTTGGTTCATCCCTCTAACCCAAAAAGTGAATATAAATGCTGAAATAAGTACTGCGTTTTGCGATGCTCCTCACGGTTGTAGTCTAGATTCATAGCCAAGGGTGACTTGTCACAATGGGGGAAAAGTGTCACGCTGCCTTCGGACTGTGGTTCATAAAAACGTCCTCAACAGGCTCTTTGAAACTCCTAAGGTTGGGCCGGCAGTTCTGAATGCATGCTGCATAATGTCCCTCTCGCGAATAGAGTTGCTACCCTTAAATTTGTATGGGGGAAAAAAGACAGTGGCTCATCTGCTATCCATGCACGCAGTGGAAAATTTAAAAGCGGCAAATTGGTTGTGATATTTGGCTGCTTAAACATCAGTAGCAGTATAATATAGACATTTCAGTTTAAGGTTTTAATTAATCTTGACTAAATATAGACAAGTATGTACCCTGTGCCCATTTATCTTATAGGTTTGATATTTTTTTATTCTGTATTATATCTGAAAGGCTTTTGGCAGAGGTGGGTAGTTCAGGTCCAGGATATACGTCCTGATCAAGATTTTGTTTCATTCAACAAGTTGAGTACTCCCTGACTGTGACTCTTTATACTGGTTGGTTGAAACAAAATCTTGGTCTGGACTTTTACTGTCTTGAGGTGAATTATCTACCTCTGGCTTGTGGTTCCCTTAACATAGACCTGGATGCAGTGAAAACAGTGAGCTGAAATCACCATGTGATATCTGTGACTGGGAGGCATAGGGGGCCTGGGTACTTCTTTTATGGTTTGAGTGAAAGCTAAAAGGAGCTACCTTGTGGGCTGAAACCACTTTAATATTATATACTATTAGCTGCTCCTTTAAGTAGTTTTTGCAGGCCAAAGGTAAACAAAAGCAGCACAACTATTCTGCAAACAATTTAGCAAGTACATTATAAATTAAAGCCTGGCATTTTGGTCAGAAGCTTTCTGGTTGAATGGATTACTCCTGCCTTTGGTATTGTAGTCTTCTGAACCCATGTGACATCCTTTGTTTTGTTCTAATCACAGACTCATGATTAAACAGAAAGGCCCCGAATGCTGTGTGAAGGCTTGGAATTACTCTGTAGCTTTTGGGCGTGGCACTGCCTCTCTCCTCAGTGCATTAAAGAGATCGCCAGGGACAAATCACACTGTCTATCTGAGAGGCTCTTCATGCAAACAGGAAGTACAAAGCAGACTGGGGGGTGGGGTGGGGGGAGTGTTTACAGTGCGAGTCCAAGATTCTCTTCTGTGTCTGGTCTTTGAAAGCTATGGGGGGTGGGGGGGGGGACAATACAGCAGTCATTCCCAGAGGTCCTGTCTCTCTGCCCGCTTGCCGATTTGCAAGACCAGCCTTCCCCATTTTGGCCTTGGCCAAGCTCTCGTCGCAGGGCACAGAAAGACCACATTCATTATTCAGAGTGGACAGACAGTTCTCACCAGCGCACTGCTGGGCTCGAATGATTTCCCGCGTTCTTGCTCACAGGACATATCCCAGGATGTCAGCTCTGCCAGCCATCAGGGGACAGAGGTCTGGGTTCACTAAAACCCCCTGACTTCGCTCTGTTTGCTGGTTTACTCGTGCAGGACTGAGGCCTTTGCCAGTGCTTTATGCACCGAGTATGTGTGCTTGGAATTTGTTTGCATTTAAGCTTCCTCTTATAAAAGCTGCTGTAGCTGTGGTCAAAAATAGCTGATGCTCTCAGATCCTCAGTGGGGAGTCTCGCCCGTCCGACAGCCATTGGAACTGGTGTGTGTTACTGGGGAAAACGAGCAGCATGGCCACTGGGGAGTGGTGACATGGCTGTGTGACTGAGCTTTTTGGAAAGTGAAAAGGTAGTGGTTTTGTCCTCGCTGGCTGTCCAGGTTTCCCCTGGGATTTTGCACTTTTGTATCCAAGAACTGTATTGTCAGTACGCTCACTGGTTGTGTCTGTCCCACAGGTGTTTGTTTTTTCTACACAGTCCTCCCATAAGCATTTTTAGGCATCTGCTTGAATGTTGCACTGCTCAAACCACCCCCCCCCCCCCCCCTAAAGATTTTGCACTGTGGCTGTGGAGCAAGCTCTATTAGCAGGCAGGGCAGGGAAACCAGCCTGCAGTCTCTATGCTGCTGTCCAAGATGGAATGACCTGGTGGGGCCAGCAGGCCAACTCCCCATTTGCGGCACCGCCTCTCCTCACCAAGACGAGTCAGTGTCAGGCTGTTCCGTTTGCCTCGTGATTATGGGTGGTGCTTTGGGACTGAGCATGCCTTGGGGGCCGCCCATGGGCGGTTATTGTCACGTTAAAGCCACACACTTCAATGGTCTTCCGTGGAATGTGGAGAATGCAGCGTCTACCAGGAAGTAGTTTTCCTTGCAATATTGTAAGCCTAGAAGTAATTTGGGTTATTTGCTTGAGCTCTCGGCATGTCGCATTTTAGTTGGCCAGTTGGCAGCCAGAAATTAAGGTATAATCTAGTGCAACTGCAACACTCAGATGTGGTTGAATTGTCCACATCCCAGTATTTATTTCATTTTATTTATTTACTTTTGTTTTCAGGATTCTTTCCTTATTACACGTTTCAGGTTCAGTGAGTGAGTGCTTAGGGTTGGCAAATGTTTTAAGAGGGGAATAATTTTAGCCCACACGTTAACAATGATATTTCCTAAATGTAGTGAGAGTTAGAGTACCCTTTTTTGCCAGTGGGGAATTGGGACAAATAAGTGGTGGATGGACTTTAAATGTAGTCCTCTTTTAAAGAAGCTAACTGCTCACTATCCAGGAGCTGCTTGGCTAGCTAAGCTAGTGAGCTGACATGGAGCTTCTTGGTCAGTGTTTACTCTGTTTAATGTGATTGGCTTTGTTCATCCTGGCATGTTATTGGGGGTTTTGGTAGCACCGTGTATAGTCATTGACAAAGCTTGAAGCTGTTGTTCTTGGGGAAAAAGGATACATTTCCCTTGTGTTTCATTGATCTATACGATTCACTGTTTTTTTTTTTTTTTTGTAAAATGAGGACACTGTTGCCAGAAATTCAGCACTCTTAAAACCATTTGCTCTGTCTCACCACATATCTGAAAGAGGTTCTGTACTGAGAGTGTTTCTCACATGTGTAGGCAGAGATGAAAATAGTAATGGATATGAAGAGCAGTGTGAGGATGTTATCGCGTGGGGTACTTTCCAGATTCCCTGAGGGCCCGGTCTCTGTGACTAACTGGAAGCCTCGGAATTCTGCTCACTTTGAAATTAGGTAATTCTTTGTAGCGATTCCAGGTTGTTCACTGGTCATTGATGGAGTTCAGTGAGTCAGTCAGCCATGTCATCATGCCAGTCCCAGCGACCACTGCAGGTGTCAACCTTGGTGAATTTAACTGGACTGTTTAGCCTTTGAATCCATGGTAAGGACTAGGCTCTGTGTTTTTTTTTTTATCAGTGGGAGTTGTCTTGAAACTTGCTGGAGATGTGCAGAGGTCAGGGTGGGGGTGTCTGCACACATAAGTGTGGACATTGACATGTGGAGGAGGAAGAGAGTGGGTACGGCAGGAAGCGGAGTGCGTCACAACGTCTGCTTCCTTTTCTGTAGGCACACAAGGTAGTCACGCTCCCCACATCTGAGGTGAGTGATGACTGAACTGAATCAAACGGAAAAACTTTACAACAGGAAAAACAATCAAGGTGGGGGAACTCCTCCAGTTATTGTTGTGAACAGAAATGGTGGTGGTTGTGTGTTTCTTTTGGCTTGGGTATTTTTTGCTTCTATGTGATGTCTTTAGTTCCACCAATACAGCTGTGCAAGGCATGGCAGGGTTGGAGACATGGGGGGGGGGCATAGAGCTGTCTTTGGGTGTCAGGCTGGAAAATTCCTGCTATGATTTTTTATTAATTTGTAGCTGTAAGTTGTTGCTGTCTAACGATTTAGGGAAAGATTAAGGAGCCACATATATACTGTGTACTCGGCTGGGTGGACCAAAAACAATATCTTGGTATTTTTAGGCAGAGTAGCGGTATGTAATAATTTCTATGACATACTCTAAATGTTCAGTTTTAAATCAAAACCCACATGTGAGATATAACAATGATTGACCTTTCCCCTTCATCAAATTCCCCATGAGACACTGAGTGGTTTCATTTTAGCTGTGAATGCTGGCATTCTGTGCAACGTCACCAACAAACCTAAGCAGTAAAGAAAAACTATTTCTGTGGCTAACGTTTGGGTCACATGGTAAAATGGGACAGACTATTTATCCTTGTCTACTGAGTAGAAGCCGCTGTCCATGATATTGATGATAAAGCATTAAAGCCCTGAAGGATGATCACGATGGGTATGGAAGGAGCAATAGGATTATGCTCTCTGCTTGAGGTGTGCTCTGAGACTTGCTGTTGAACTCCAGAGT